ATCCGTTTCAGCTTTTGTGGTTCGATCCTTCCAATAAATAGAAAGATCAGAGACTTAATAGTTTCCATCGACTTTAGACTTCTTGTAAGATTCTCTAAGAGTATGAATCTCTAGACGATCTTCAGGCCAAACTTCTATAATCGGTTCAGTTGCATCGTTATCCTACTCTACTGGGGGGAAAGTGATGAGACAAAATTTAACATCACAAAGAGTTGACAACTCATTGGCCTTTTTCTTCAAACATTCGTATCTTTCCTTAAACTTTGCTAATTCATTTGCCTCTTTCCTCTCATTTTAGCTCTTCCCTTACCCATCGATTTCTGGAATCATTTTGCCATCAATATTGATTACCAATGTAGGGTCACCTTGTTAGTACACAAGAAAAGCACCCATGAAGTAAGTTGACAAACCTATTTCCCCAATTAAATCAGTATTTTGTTTAGTTACACAAGTACAACATCAAGGTAGCGCCTTTTCAAAAAAAACAATAAGGTAGCGATATTTATGTTTTGTAGAAAGGAAAAATTGCACTTTTACTACACGATAAAAAATACCATCTTTGAAACTCATACTGGAAACATGCATTATCTGGTAGAAACACGGAATACTTCCATGTAACGGTTTCTATCTAAAACATACCACTACAGAATATGACAACTGCGTACAAAATATAAATTATTTGCTCTCAAACAACTGCCTCCTACTACTATACCATTAATAAGGGAAAAAGGAGAAGAAAACAATCGCTTCATATTTACGGCTAAATTTTGATAGCATAAAGATAACTTGACAAGAATAGACAACACAACTAAACACATAATTGATAATTGAACTAGCTAGCTACTCCTTCGGTTATATCCTAAAAAAGAGTCTTACTAGGACATAAGAGACTACAGTTTTTGTTGAAAAAATCAGACGTCTTATTGGCATATGAAACGAGTACTTATTATAGTCTAATGAAGCACAAAATGATTGCATTGCAAAAGATTTAGGCTCCGTTTGGTTGGATTGACTTGTAATTGAATTGAAATTATAATAATATTGAGTTGAAAATGAGATATTGATTGCATTTCAATCCTAATTTCTTTGTTTGGGAGATCTTAAAATTGACTAGAATTAAGGTTATAATACCAATTCTTTCGCTTGGATGCATAAAGATTTAGATACAATAGAATTGGGATTAGTTTGTTATATTAAACTAATAAAATTTAATTCATTTCAAAAATAGAAAAAATAATTTATTTTTCTTATGCCAAAGTAATTAATACAGTATTATGCATATATAAAACAAAAAAAAAATCATGATGAACATGTATATTAGAATTACTTTTTTTTGTTTAACTAATTCAATTTTTACTTTTTATAAAAAAATGAAATTTTGTTTAATTTGTTAAATCAATGTTATGATTTATCAAGTAGATACATACTCATGGAAAACTATTTTTTATTACAAAAGAATTATTAATATAATAATTAAAGTATTCACTCAATACATAAACAAGTAACAAATACAACATCCATATTTCTCTCCATTTTATAAATTTTCATGTACAATTTTTTATTTTAAATTTTTTATTTTTTCTTATTTTTTATTAAAAAATACATATAACATAAAATTCAGTTTATGCATATTAATGCTCATTTATTGATAGGATTATAGGTTGAAATTAATTTGTAGTTGCTAATAATCTTTTAGTATATAATCTCGAATCTTATATTCAATGTATAAGTGTATTTATTATTAGTTTTTACTTGGTATGATAATCTTTACCTTGGTAAATTGATCAATTAAAATAATTAATTATACCTTTACCTATATCTTTTAGTATGGATATATTTTGAAAATATTGACAAAACATAATTTTTCAAAATATAAGGGTCTAGTCATTTTTTGTAAGTTTTATGTTCTATTTTGATGATTAAAAAATAGAATACTTTCTATGCAAAAGAAGAAAAAAAAAAACATAAAAGATTTGAAAGTAGCCAAATAAAAATACGGGAAAAGATTTTAAAAATAAAAGTAATTTTTTTTTTAAAAAAAAACCAAAATTGAAAGAGGAGTGCTGTGCGTGGGGACTTCGGAATGTCCTGAAATGGGTTTCCTTTTGCGGAGCGTGGTAGCACGCGCTCGAATTATCATTATAACCTCCAAAACGACCCATTTTTTAATAATTCGTTTTTGGCCCTTAAGTTGACCCGCGAGATTCTATTAAAGTTAAAGAATCTGAATTGCAATTATTACCTCACATAGAATTGAAAACAAAAAATTGAACCTAAAGTATAATTATAATTCTAATTCCGGTACATCTATTTTTATCAACCAAACAGAGGAATTGGAATTGGAAGCCTCCGATTCCAATTCTTGTCTCCAATTCTTGACAACCAAACAGAGCCTTAGTGAAATTGGCTGGTTGAGTGCATGCAAAATAGAATGCATCCATAATATCAAGAAATAATTATTGCATCACTAAAGCAACCAGAAAACAAACAATAGTGCTAGCATGAACGATATTGAAAAATTCGTCAAAGGATAAAAGAGAAATAACTTACACGTACTTGGCCTTTGATTTCTCCAGAGTTTGCTAGAAACTGTGGTTATAGCGGAGCGATGAATATTGCATATGTTTGCTTCCAATTGAACTTATATTGTAGAGATTGTGGTGTGAGCCTGGCAGCCATTAAAAGAACTTTAATATATACAACACAATAAAGGGAAATATGAAAGTCTTGCCTGTTCGTAATTAATTGTTTCTTGATAAACAGTTTGTTTCCAAATTTATCAAGAGTCTAAAATGTAATTAATTAATTTGAAATTAAACTAGGGCCATAGGCCGTCTTATTGATGGCTGAAAATTCTATGGTTAACGATATTGGTCTCACTTATTTTAAGAACGTACTTCATATAATATTTGACGATATTCGATGGTGTAAACTAAGTTATTGGTTGAATACTTTTGGGGTCAACCTTAAAATTAACATCAAAAAGAGAAAAAAAAAGGAGAAGAAAAATGTTGTACAAGAATTGAACAAAAGTATTCACGTTCTACTAAAAAAACTCCACATATATGAGGTGATTTTGCGTAATAACTGCCTCAAAAAAATTCGACCCTGTTTTATGTCTTTATTTGGGAAAGTTAAAAGTAGTAAGGCAAGTTTTGTTTATGCAAAATTTGCCATTATCCACCTCGATTTGATATGAGGCCGATAGTGAATTTTTAACAAGGTTATGAATATTATAATATTGGGAAATTAGAAAAAAGTTAATGGGTGTTTCAAGATTAATCCGTGAAATTAAAGAGAGTATGAATATTATAATCTGTTAAATTGGTATAGTGGAATATGAGGGTCCAAGATTAAACGGTGTGAAATACGATGCCAAACTACAATACTCATATGTAAGTAGGAATAAATGTGCGTTCAAGATTAAGGGCAGCATCTAATTAAGTAGTACTGTCTTTACGATTATGGGAATACGGATTTATAAAACTTTCAGCAAGTTCCATCCACACCCAACAAAATAGTATGTGTGAGTTAAACATATATGACTCTATTCGAGACTCACCAAATTCAAGCTATCTCATGATCTTATTTATGGATAATTTCATTTTGTAGCTCAAATTTGTAATATTTATTGGTGTTGTCGTCTGAGTCACATAGGGAGATGTAATTGAACAGGAAGTAGGCATAGCTGTAATTGCTAAGCGAGCATCAACTAGTAACAGTCCAAAAGTTAATTTTGTACGTACAGATTTTCAATCCAAGGAAATAAGTAAACTAATGATTATATCTAATTGTGAAAATTATGAATTATGCAAACAACTTAATCCATACTAGACGTGTGCCTCGTGCAAAATAATCACGGTTTCTTTTTGTTTATCGCTCTTTTTTGTTTTTTTTTTTTAATAGTGCGGTAACAATTGTGTCAACTGTATCTATTATAAAATTGTGAATTGTCATGAATAAATCTTTGATCAGTAACCGCTTTTAATCAACAAAATCAGATAAGCCAATTGATACTTTAAATTTAAGACCAAAATCAACTAACCTAATCATAAAACTTGTGACAAAAACGGGTCTTAATCTGATCCCTAACGTAGTATATTTTCAGTTCAAAATAAGGAGCAATGACGGGTTTATTGAGACTTGTACGTAAAAATTAATATAATTTACAAATAAATAAAAGCTAATTTGTAGAAAACAGCACAATCAGGAGAGTGCTCTTTTATGGAAATAATAAAACGGCAATTTTAGAAAAATAAAATTGGGGGAGAAACTTAATAATATAATTTTTTTTCAAAGGAATGATTCAATTACATATTATAGATCATCGACTAAAAAAATTATTTTTCTGCAATTTAAGCATTCAACCGTAGGTTTAATCGAAGCATTCATTAGTTGCGCAAAGTATGAAGCTTAAAAGTCCTAGTAAAACGTATCCTGGCCTTTTTTAAAAAAAACGTTAAAAATCGTCCAAAATGAAAACTCTACAACTTCATTTTTTGGGGAAAGAAAACAAAAAAGAAACAATTTACCTAAAGGACAAATGACATTTCATGAACATTTCATATGGACATTCTTGCAGATAAGACAAATTGTTGATAAACCTACAAACCGATAATAATTTGATGAATTATGAGAACAATAGGGGAAGCTAGTTAGCATGTATAATTCAGTAATCCAGTAATGACGATCAATATTTTATGACTAGAAATTCTGTCCCTTTTTGTCACATTTCGTGTACAAACCAATTGCTACTTTGCCTGCCTTCAATTGTATACCGACTAGCTAGCACTTTGATATTTGCCAAAAAAAATTATTTCTGATGAATTGGTTGTTAGTTTATCAGCCAAACGAAAAGAGTTCTAGTAGAGGAAATCTGTTTTTTAGCTATTGAGAATTTGCTAAAATTTAAAAAAAACCAATTCTGGTATAAATGCAGATCATTCTTTAGCAAAAGTTCACCACAAAACCACAATCATAAATCAAAGTAACTGAAAAATATGGCTGCCCGATTATCTCAGTGTGCGGGAGTTTTCTACATCTTTTTTGTGTTACATTTCATCAACAATTTCTATGGAAGTGCTGCGGATCCTTTGGATGAAGAAACAAAGGCAAAAATTCCGTAATGTTATTATTTCATCAAATATTTTTGAAGGTTTGTTCCTGCTAGCTTTAGCATAGGATTGCCAATTAACATGTACTCCTTTCTTTTTTGTTGATCATGGCTACAGATCTATATTGTTTACATGGGATCCCTTCCCGAAAACAACGATTATTCGCCTTCATCACACCATCTCTGCATACTTCAACAAGTTGTAAACAACAGGTATGTATGTCATCCACGAAATGCATAAGCTCAGTTTCTTTGTTTTTCTAAAATTTTCTTTTCCTGACTTTTTTCCTTTCTAATTATATTGAATTTTATTTTGTGTGATCAGGTTTCCTGAGGAATCCTTAGTAAGAAGCTACAAAAGGAGTTTCAAGGGATTTGCCGCATATCTCACAAAGGAAGAGAGTGAACAAATGGCTGGTAAGAGAGTACTAATTGCAGTTGAATCATTTAGTACATGAATTATCAACGCTAACGAGATCGACAAAATGATGATATATAATTCCGTCGATGCAGCGCGTGATGATGTGGTAACGGTGTTTCCAAGCCAAAAGCGCGAGCTTCATACAACAGTATCATGGGACTTCATGAAGTTTGATGAAGGTGTCCATCGGAGGCTCGGTGTCGAAAGTGAAACCATTGTCGGGACTTCATGAAGTTTTGATTTTGGTGCTGTACCTAAAAACTGGAAAGACGCTTGCGAAGGTGGCTATAATTTCACTTGCACCAAGTAAGAAATTCCCTTCTCTTATCCCTAAACACTACCACACAATATAACTTAATTGTCACACTTTCATATGTATTTAGTTTGAAATCAAATTCACGGCGGCCATTCAGGTAGGAAAATCATCGGAGCACGTTATTACACCGAGGAAGGAGATACTACGATGGTCATGGAAGTCATACTGCCTCTACAGCAGCAGGAAATGGTGTCGCAGGCGCGGGCTTTTAAGGTATCGGAAAAGGTACAGCAAGGAGGAGCAGTTCCTTCAGCAAGAATAGCTGTATAGAAAGTTTGTGGAGCACTGTCTTGTTCAGATCATGGAGTATTGCCTGCTTTTGACGATGCCATAGCTGATGGAGTACGTATTCTTACAATATCCCTTGGAACACCGGTTCCGATTGACTTGGCAAAAGATACCATAGCCATTGGTTCATTTCATGCTCACAAAGAAGGTATTCTCACTGTCCATTCGGCCGGAAATAGTGGGGCTGTGCCGGGAGCTGTTTCTAGTAAAGCGCCGTGGTTAGTCACGATTGCTACTAGCACTACGAGTCGCAAATTTGTCGCCCCGGTTGTCCTTGGGAATGGAAAGACATTGAATGTATGTTCTATTTACAAAACAAGGTCTTTCATTCGATGCCACATACATAATATTTTAAAAATAGTCTTATTTCCTTGTGTGACAGGGCAATGATGTTAACGCTTTTAGGTTGAATGGGACAGAGTTTCCTCTTGTGTACGGACAGCACGCTTTGAAAAATTGTTCAGCTAGTGATGCAGAGTATTTCCCCATTCTATCACTTTATTAATTAGGCTGTCATGGTCATCTTTTCTTGCTGTTTTGTGATCAGAACAAAAAAACAAACAAAAAAAAAGAACAATTTCGTAGTGGTCATCTAGGAGAAGGAACTTAAGAATAAAATCTTTCATTTTGGTTTTCACAGAATGTGTTTTGATGGATGCCTTGACAAAGATCTTGTGAAGGGAAAGATTGTTTTATGTAACACCACTGAAAGCTTCTCCGCTGTTCCCGAAGTTAACCGAACCGGGGGGGTCGTTGCAATATTAGTCGATGGTCACCCTCAAGTTGCCTCCGTTACCTTTTATCCATTCGCACATCTTAGTCCTCAGCAGTTTAAAGAGGTAGTTGACTATATCAATTCCACTGAGTATTTGGAACTGTTTCATTATTTTTGACACATTTTGAAATGACTAATTAGATTGGTCAAGTGATTGAGCTGTAGTAACAACTGATGGATGGACTGATATTCATTTCAGTATTTTCAGTATGATTCCTAACTGAACTCACTTCTGCAAAATCTGATTAATTTTCAGAACACCCACAGAGAACTTGTTAAAAACTAAAGCTGTATATAGAAGATCGGACGGCGCCCATAGTTGCTTTTTTCTTCTCGCGGGGGCCAAATAAATTTTTCCCCGACATTCCGAAGGTAACACCAAATAGCGAAATGCATTTTGCCTTTTGTTTTCTTTAACACATTTTACTTCATAATAACAAGTAATCCGAATGTTGCAAACTGCAGCCAGATATTACTGCTCCAGGAGTTGAAATCTTGACAGCCTTTTCGCCGGATGGAAACCCTTCTGGCTTTCCTACTGATCAGAGATCCGTGGACTACGCTATATTACATGGAACATCATGTCGTGTCCTCATGTCACCGGCGCAGCTGCTTGTGTGAAATCCATAAATCCAAGCTGGTCCCCTTCCGCGAACAAATCTGCTTTAATGACTACAGGTTTATAGATATGACTTTAGGATACTGCTTGTACAAATTGATAACTCTTTTAATTTCCTCGAATGATATTTATACCAGCTTTTAAGATGGATAAATCCGACTCGTACTATGGGGACTCTGAATTCGGTTATGGAGCAGGACATCTAAATCCTAGGAAAGCTCCATATCCAGGACTCGTGTACGAGATATTACAGACGGACTACTTAAAGTGGATTTGTGGCAAGAATTTCTCAACAGAACTGATCGTCACCTGTGCCGGAGTGGTTACTGTTGAGGACAAAGAGCTTAATTATCCAACAATGGCAGCCAAAGTCGAGAAAGAAAAGAGTTTCAGTGTCACATTCCCAAGAACCGTTATGAATGTCAGTCAAGCCAACAATTAGTGATCAGTCCGTGAATACAACATTTGGACTTCTCACAGTATGCTTTCCGTCATACCACTCAATTGAAGCAGAATCGAATCCTTCAAACTCTGTGACAGCAACTGTCACCTGGAATGACTTTTTCTCGTAGCGCGCTTTGACAGATAAAATGTAGGGATTCACAGTAATGTCGTCCAAAGAATGTGACGTTGAAACTCTTGCCTTTCTCGACATTTGCAGTCATTGTTGGATATTTAAGGTCTTTGTCTTGGATAGGAACCACTCCCGCGTAGCTGACATTAAGTTCTTTAGAGAAGTTCTTGCCACAAATCCACTTGAAGTAGTCTGTATCTAAGGTCTCGTACACAAGTACATGATATGGAGCTTTTCTAGGATTTAAATGTCCTGCTCCATATAAGAATTTGGAATCACCGTAGTACGAGTCGGTTTTATCCATCTTAAAAACTGGTATATACATCATTTGCGGAAATTGAACGAGTTACCAATATGTACAAAAAGTATCCTAAATTCATATGACAAAAGAAGTTATTTATATCTATCAATAAACCTGTAGTCATGAAAGCGGATTTGATGGCGGAAGGGACCAAACCAACTCGGATTAATGGATTTCACATAAGCAGCAGCGGCGGTAACATGAGGACATGAAATTGATGTTCCATGTGTTATAGCATTGTCCACGGATCGGTCATCAGTAGGAACGCCAGAAGGGCTACCAGATGGAGAAAATGCCGCCAAGATTTTGATTCCGGGGCAGTGATATCTGACTGTAGTGTACCCGTACAACATTTGGATAACTTTGTTACTATTATATATGTATAAATGTGTTAAAGAAAACTAAAAGCATAATTCATTGAGTTACATGGGATTACTTTCAAAATGTATGGGAAAAAATAGTTAGGCCCTCGGGAGGAGAATCAAGCAACATTGGGTGCAGTAACATCATCTATAGCTTTAGTTTTTAACAAGATCCCTTTGGGTGTTCTGAAAATCAAGCAGAAAGCCGAATCCATTTCAGCAATGAATCGTACAGGACAAATTATGATAACAAAACTAAAGTGGACATCAATCTATCAATCAGTTGTTATGCGTAAAATATCATGAAACATTGCCAGATACTCACTCACTGGAATTGATATAGTCAACGATGAAGTCTCGGGAGTCTCCTGAGGGTAGACACTCCAATACTTAAGTCAGTAAAAGAGTTTCAGTAACGTGTATGTAGTAATTGGTGCCAAAGATAGCGTACCTTTATTGTGGCATGATCACCTCTATTTATAGGCATAGAACTACCTTGAGGCAATCGGTTAGGCCATATACGACGGTCGGGCCGGTCCAGTAACCCGGATTGGATATGGACTCGTCAAGTGCCCCTGTCAAGTGTTAGTTTATTGAAATAAACAAAACTTGACACAACAATAATTCTAATCTAGACTCGGCCCAAAGCCATTGGACAAGTTATTGCACAAAATCTGCGCACTTAACCCCAAAGAGATCGACCCACGTGTGAAGGCCCGATTCAAGGTGTTGACCCGTTTCAATATCCCGCCTGAATTATCAAATAGCGGATCCTTAATGGGCACGTTCCCCAAATAGCGGCAAACAACATCATTACTCCCCTTGAAGTCCGCTGTGATAGTAGAAGCATGGGGAACTCAAACGTTCTTTTCGTAACTAAGAAAGAGAAACACTCCATCCTCCCAAAACTGAAGTAAGGAAGAAACCGAGAGCTCTGAAAACTCTCTTCTTTCCTTTTCACAGTGCCTCAGCCATTGGCTCTGGAATACCAGCACCTCTTTGTTCTGCCCCAGCATCATCGTCGTTGTCGGAGTGCTTGCAGCTGTCTCGTCTCGAGGAAAAATACCAACCTGGCAGGCCATGCTTTAAAAGGAGATCTGTGCCAGTAAGTATTTCACACCTTCAAACCTTGTTGTTAACGTTCCTTTTCCTGAATATCAGTGTGTTACCATATCGTTTGGTAGAATGGCTAGAAACCCATATCTGAAAACTGTAGGTGATTTCGTATCCACCATAGATTCTGACGATAAAGCCAAGGTTGTTACCGCAAAATATGACATCCCCTTAGATTTAAATCCCAGGGTTCCCGTAGGTAACGTGAGAGCTAATACTCCTCCAGAGGCTAAAATTACTGGGTATGACCGCTTTTTGTTTCTGGGGCTTATTTTTTCCAGCTTTTTGTTTCTGGGCTTAGATTCCCCCTTTACCCTCTGTTTGGAGAAATCGTGCAACACTATAAGATCCCCCTGGCCAGATTTACACCAAACTTAATATCATATGTCCTTGGATTTGTGAGGATGTGTGAATTGGTAAGTGTAACACCTCGACTACTCGTCAGGAGGTATTTCTTCAAGGTGTGTGTTCCTTCAACTAAGTTCAAGGACTGGTATAATGTCAAGATGAATCCAAAATCTGGTGCTGTAAAGATCATGAAGGTATTTGATAGGTCTCCGGTATGGAAACTTGAATATCTATTTGTGACAGCACTTGCAGATTTTTATCGAGAAGCAAACAGTCTCGATGGCATAGTCGATGACTGGAGCAGGGCTGATGAGAAGAAAATTATGAAGTACAAGACCGTTATTAATGCCCTATCGGAATACGCAGAATATATTCCTTGGTCTGACGTCCAATCTTATATCCCTCTAATTCTAGCCGAGGAGAAAGAAGGTACTAATCCTATTTTATTCTTGTTCTGTTTTAGGCTATGTCGTCGAGCAATGCTGCATTTCGACTGTTTGGTGACTCTAAGGTCTTTGATGTTAAAAACTCAAACAATGAAGGATCGTCCACGAAGGTCGTAAAGAAGAAGGAGAAAGTCAAGAGATTGGTCAAGGCCTCAGACCAAGAATCGAGGAAGAAGAGCAACCATGACTCCATTCTGGAGAAGGAAGCCAATCTCAACACAACCCTGCCAGTTGCCGACGGTGCAAAAGAAGTACCAGCCCAGCAGCTCGAGGAGTCGCATGTTGTCGAGGAGATAGACCCAAACGCTGACACGGGCGTGAACTTGCAACCACCTCCCTTGGAGAAGGGTAATGACACAATCGAGGTGGTTACCCATCTCCTGGATCTCCCATATTAACCGTCGTCGCAGCCACATATCATTTCAGCAATCCGCTGATGATTAAATGTTTGATTCTCGAAGAAAATGCTATGAGCATGACTGATGAAGATAGTCTAAAACTGGTAAATCCTTCCGCCACCCTACGAATTTCTTTCCATGTTTGAATTTCACATATCTGTGTATTACCCCGGAATCTTTTATCGTGGACTGTAGATGAGCACCGCAATGATAAGCTTCTTACTCCGCTTGAGGGAACTGAGGGAGGATCTCGCCTAGGCAGAAGCTACTGTAAAAGCAACTGATGCGGAGAAGGCTATCCAGGCTGAATTATTGAAGAAAGATAAGATGGAACTTGCTGCTAAAGAGAAAAAATTAGCCTCACTTCAGGAAAAATATATTGAACTGGAGGGAAATATGAGGGAATGTGAAGAATCCCACATGTCGAAAGCAGATCTTCATTAGTGGCTTGTTGCTTTTTGGTTTAAAATGCTGCCAACCATTGGCATGACTAATGTCATGGTGAAAATAAGTGAGGCGGCGGAGGAGCTGGGCAGCCATGGTGTTGCTGTTTTGGGGCTCGAGAGGTTGGAAAGTGGCAAAGCCATCAACACCGGGTGGTTAAAGCAGTTCTTAAAGAAACATCCTCTCACGCCAATGTGTCAATGAACTTCCTTTGTTCAACAGTTTGTGCAGTGCTATCGTTAGGATGGGTTTGTTCAACAGTTTGTGCAGTGCTATCGTTTGGATAGGTTCCCGTGAGGATATACTTTTTCGGGTGATGTCTGTACGATTCTTACTAGGGGTCTTAATTCGGGCAGTTCGGGCGGTTTTTGATTTATTCGGTTCGGGTAAATCGGATTTTTACACTCACAAAACCCGCCCAAAAACAAACCGCAAAACATACAAAACCGAACCAAACCGCCCGATTATAGTTGTGGGTTCATCGGTTCGGGTGATGTTTAACCGAATTAAATTTTTAAAGTAAAATGAAAATACACATATTTTTTCCTTGCTCCGAATTCCTTACCATAAAATTCATATGCCATTCTCTCCACTTTTTTGTTTTTAACACAAAATTGAATGGTGTCAATGTTTATCTTGTTACACAAATCTAGGGGTGTCAATTCCCCGAAGTCAGTGAAGCCTTAGAAGAAAAAAAAACTTATCTCCCATTCTAATTAGCAAACTAGTACTCACGCACTTTCTCAAAATTCACATCTCAAAATTTAACATTTCACATTCAAAAATCAAAACTCAGAATTTAGATGAAAGAAGCCAAATTCAACAAGTACGGAATTGTTGCATCAAGTCTTGAGGAGTACAGAATATTCAATCTTCAATCTTCAGTCTTTGATCTCATGTGTCGACCACTTCTACCCCATATATAGGCCAGAACCTAAGTCGTGCTCAAGAAATAAAGGGCACGGTTGGTGTTGGCTACGGATTTTGCAGCAAAAGGGTAGTGAAAAGAGGAGAAGAGGCGGTCCAATATTGGAAGTAGGGAGGAGGCTGTGGGAGGGAGAGAGGAGGAGGAGGCGGAGGCAAGTACAGACTGAGAAGTGGGAGGTGGAGTCGTGGTGTGGTGGGATTGGCTGGATTGATGGACAGATTCGTTGGAATCTAGAGGTTGGAGATGGAAAATTAAAAGGGGAATGGCGTCGCCGCTGGAAAGAAAAAAATTGGGGAAGAGAGCCATAAACCCTAATCTCTGTATAACATTCTTTTTATACCTCCTTATATTTGTACGTTAATTATGTTTTTAATGATAATTATAAATCGGTTATTCGGATGGTGCCCGAATAATTCTTTTCCAACCCACAACCGAACTGGAAAGCCTATGCGGTTGGTCAGTTACACCCACAATTACTCGATTTCACCTACATTACCGAATCGTTTTCACAAAATCGGGTGCGGGTCGGGCGGGTTTTCAGGTAAACCCGATTTACTGACAACCCTAATTCTTACTGGTGCTCCCGATGAGGAGCTAAGAGTTTCAGAGCTCCAACTCAAACATTGGCATTGAATGTGCCACTGATGATGACTCCTCGGTAGAAATAGAAACATGAAAGGAAAAGGCTCCCCAAGGCGAGAAGACTGTTGCGGAGGTGACCAAATCCACTCCAACAAAGGGGCCTATCGAGGGAACTAGCGAGTGCCAATCAGAGAAGCCTCCTGTCCAACAGACGCTTTATGAATTTTCTATTTGTAATAGAATTGCATCTTCTTTGTTTTGTAAACATGACCCTAGTCATAGCGTTGGCCTTTGTCTGAGAACAATTTTATGTTGACGCATGTATCCAATCTTTCCCCATCTATTATCTTGCTCCATTTATAACTAGTTATATTGAATATGCTAGGAATCATACTTTGTTCACCGAGTCCCTTTGATGATTCTCGACGAGAATCAAGCGAAGAGATTCCCCCTGTACCATATGATCTCCTCCTGCTTGAGGAATAGAGAAAATGTCCATAACATCAAGGTGAAGTACCTCGAGAAAGATTTCCTAGATGCCATTCAATCTTACAGTGTGCAAATTCATTTTTGTTTGATTAATAGTTGGTGCAAAAAAGAGGAAGAAATGCAATGCCATCTTCATTAATACGACCTGGACTTTCAGGACTATTGGAGCTGAATATCATTGAGGAAACTAGTCAATTGAAGGAGGAGAATGCCAAATTGAAAGCAAACTAGGGTAGTGTTGCATCACCTTGGTTACTCGAGAAATTTCATGTACCCTCGAGAGTCGAGAAGCAAATAAAGGTCAGGATCGATCGCTTCATTGTTGCAATTAAATTGCTCAAAAAAAGAACTCAAGAAATGGAGTTTCTCATCAAGCAATCGGCTGTTCTTCAAAATCTCCTTGCTGACAATGCAATTCTGTTCCCGAACCTTGACGGACAAGCTGAAAATGAAGTGCCCAAAGCAAGGTCCACCAAAGAAGAGTTCCTGCTATGGATGAACGAGCAAGATCTGGAGATCCTGGATTTGACGGATAAGCTGAACCAGTGTACAAATAAACTGAAGATCCTCGGGTTTTCAGGCGTTATTATGCCTTCTCGCTTCAACCCTAGTAAGGAATACATTGTAATATAGGAGAAGACAGTTGTATCTTTCTTTTGCACTTTCTTAATCCTGCACCATGTGTGAGGATAAATGAAATTGTTCGAGCCTCAAAGGCGTCGCATTAACTTATACTCGAGTATTAATTTTTATAGCGCTATTTTGGCCGGATGTAAAGTGCAGGGCTCTATAGAGGGAACTGGGTATGAGTTCCTCGTTTTTTATACCGAGATTGGCGGCGGGTACGAGGAATGTTCCTCGGTTTTGTGTTCGGATGTTTAATACACGGCACGATCGAGGATGGTCCAGGTATAGGAGTCCATCTCGAGGACTAGTCATATTATAGTGTCAACACAAACTAAACTATAAAAAAGAAACATGCAACAACTTATATTGAATAATTACCCGAGAACCCGGGTTAGCATTACATATGAGAAAATAAAAGACATGAGAATAAATGACGAACTTAAAAAATTTAAAAATAGAACTTGCAAAGGTTTTGGAGTTCCCACCACCGAGGAAGGATGGTTTCAGTGTTGTCCATGGTTTGCAACCATGCCTACATGCGGGGGAAGTTTCAATGACTTTGTAAGGTCCTTCCCAGTTTTCAGTAAGTTTCTGATGAGTCTCAACTCAAATGGCTTCATTCTTCCTGAGTACAAGATCTCCCACTGCAAAGTCTGTTGCCTTGAATCGCTTGTTGTAGTGGTTCCTGATGGATTCCTTGTACTTGTTTCTCTGATCTTGACGGCATCTCGCCGTTCCTTGAGCAGGTCGAGGTTAAGCTTGATATCATCATCATTGCTTCTCTCGACAAAGTTAATAGTTCGAGGACTTGCCAAGCGGATTTCATTTCAAAGGACTGCATCCATGCCGTAGACCAAGCTGTAGGGTGTTTCATCTGTCGAGGAATGAGCAGTAGTGCGGTAAGCCCATAGAATGTGAGAAAGTTCCTCAGCCCAGGCTCCCTTAGCCTCGTGCAGGATGGTCCTATTAATTAATTCTGCCTATCCATTGGCTTGTGGATAAGCCACACTTGAGAATCGACGCTCAATTTGTATCTTTTTGCACCATGATTTGAATGGATTACTCTCGAACTGCGTTCCATTGTCGGAGATATTTACCTCTGGAACCCCAAATCTGTAGGCAATGTTTTGCCAGAAAAAACTCAACACCTTCCTTCCTGATATTGAGGCCAACTGTTTAGCTTCCACCCACTTAGTAAAGTAATCTGCTGCTACGATGACCCATCTTACTCTTCCTACCCCCTTTGGAGAAAAAGGGCCGATGATGTCGGTGCCACATTGGTAAAAGGGCCAAGGACTTTAAATTGTGACCATCTCGTGCTGTGGCTATCGACTGATTGGGGAAAACGCTGACATCTATCGTACTTTTGTACAAACTAATGTTCATCCTTGAAAATCGTGGGCCAAAAGTAGCCTGCAATCAATATTTTCTTAGCGAGCGCTCGACCTCCCAAATGCACGCTGCATGATTCTTCGTGCCGACACAACGTAACATGGGTAGCAGGTATCCATGTTTGTACAAGACTCCATCCCTCAAAGTGTATTTGACTGCTTTCAACTGAAGTTCTCGAGCCTCTAGTTTGTTGTTTGGTAACATTCCTTCTGTGAGATACCGAATAAACGGAGTCATCCATGTGTCTTCATCCTCGATAATTGAAAGTGCAGGAGCTCTTTGAATGCTCGCTTCAGAGAGGATCTCAACCGAAACTTTGTGATTGAGATGCGTGAAGTTGGAAGAGGCAACCTTACTCAGTGCGCCGGCTTTCCTATTTCTTGACCGCAAGATGTGGGAGATGGTGCATTCTCCAAATTTATCTTTTAACTCGAGGACTCTCTCGAGGTACTGCTTTAGCTGCTCATCTTTAGCTGTGTAATCTCCGGCGATTTGGTTGACTACTACTTGGGAGTCGTTGAAAACCCGAATGTTCCGA